TGCAAATCTCCTGTCAGATAAGTGATCTCCGGTGTTTTCTTCCAGTCTCTGGGTTGTTTTCACTCTTGGTGGTTGTGTTAGGGCACAGAGGTTTTAAATTTTTTCCTCTGTTTTTGTGGTAGTAGGGATTGAACCCAGGGGTGCTCTGCCACTGAGCTACATCCTGAGGCCCTTTTTAATTTTTATTTTGAGACACAGTCTTGCCAAGTTGCCCAGGCTGACCTCAAGCTTGCAATCTTCTTGCTGCCTCAGCTTCCTGAATAGCTGGGATTATGGCTGTGCACCACTGCACCTGGGAAGATTTTTTTTTTTCTAATATTTATTTTTTAGTTGTAGTTGGACACAACACCTTTATTTCAGTTGTTCATTTTTGTAGGTGGTGCTGAGGATCGAACCCAGGGTCTCGCCCGTGCGAGGTGAGCGCTCTACCGCTGAGCCATAACCCCAGCCCTGGGAAGGTTTTTAATTTTGGTGAAATTCAGTGTGTCTATTTTTTTGTTGGTGGTGGTACTTTCAACATCAAGGAATTCTGTGCCACTTCCTAGTCAGGAAGATTTACCTGTGTCTTCCTCTAAGAGCTGTTTGTTTTGCTGTTTTGGTGCTGAGTGCTTTGGTGCTTGGACCACACCCTCAGCACGAGCTCTGACATGGAGTGACCCCTCTGAAAGCTCTTAACACTAGTTCCTTTTTCTACACGGTGGGAGTTGGGTCCAGTTGCTCCCTTGCTGGTGGAGATCCAGCTGTCCCAGACAACTCGACAAAGGCACTAAGCTTCACCCCTTGTCAAAGGTCTGCTGACTCCACCGTGAGGGTCCCCTCACATCCTCCCATGTCCCTACCGCCACTGCTTTCCAATGGGTCATAAAATCCAAATCATGAGTTCTCCTGATTTGTTCTCCTCTTTTTTGGGCAACGTTTGCTATTCTGGATCCCTTGGCCTCCATATGAATTTTAGAATCAGTTTGTCAGTCTCTACACGGAAAACCGCTGGGATTCCGACAGGGATGGATGCACGTCCTCCCAAGCTCGTTGGTTGGCTCTCCTGGGGTGTACATGGGAGAGTGCCTCGTCTTTGAGGTTTCCTTATCTCACATAAGGAGCCAGCCACAGGAGAATGGAAACATTCTCGGACACACATAGTTTTTGTTTTCTTTTCCTTTTTTTTGCAGTACTGGGGACGAAACCCAGGGCTTCCCTGCATGCTTTGAATCTGTAGGTCAGTTTGGGGAGTGTTGACCTCTTAATGTCAAATCTCATGATCTCTAAACCTGGAATGTCTTCCCATTTATTTTGGTCTTTAATTTCTTCCAACAATGGTTTGCAGTTTTTAGATGGTGAGGTTTGCATTTCTTTTGTGAAATTTATTCGTAAGTACTTTATTCCTTCGCTAATAACCTTATTCCTTTGTAAGAAATTATTTTCCCAATCTTGTTTTTGGGTCGTTCATCACTAGCATATGGAAATAGAGCTGCACATCGTCCCAAGCTCGTTTATTGTACATGGGAGAGTGCATCGCCTTTGAGGTTTTGTTATAGACAACCGTGTTATCTGCCTGTGAGGATACTACTTCCTTTCCAATCCCAACATCGTTTTTTGTTTTTTTTTCCTCCTGCCTAATTGCACCGAATAGCAACTCTGTGATAGTCAGAGGGGTGAAATGGGCCATCCTGGTCTTGTTCTTGGAGTTTTGTCTGATACTTGTTCTGTATCTATTAAAATGGGCGTGTCTCTTTTTTCTATTGGTATGATGTAGTCATGTTTTTGTGTCTGTGTGTGTGGCACTGGGGATTGAACCCAGGTGTACTTTGTCGCTGAGCCACATTCTAACTATTTTTTTTTAAAGCTTTTATTTATTTTTTTGTTTACACAATACCTTTATTTTGTTTGTTTATTTATTTTTATGTGATGTTGAGGATTGAACCCAGGGCCTCACGCATGCTAGGCGGGCGCTCTACGGCTGAGCCACAACCCCAGCCCACTCTTTTTGTTTTTCATTTTGAGATAGAGCCTCACTAAGTAGCTGAATCTGTCCTCCAAATTGCCATCTTCCTGCTTCAGCCTCACCAGACGTGTGCCACCACACCCAGCTTATTGACCGATTTTTTAGTTAAAACATGGTTTTATTCCTGGGATAAATCTCACTTCATCATGGTCTATAACTTTTTATGCATTGCTTGTTAATGTTTTCTTTTGTCCTTTTATACGTCAAAAAGTGTCTGTTGTTTATTCACCCTGTGTTTTTTTTACTGATGACTAAAACTTTTTTTTTTTAGGCACTAAAAAACTAGCTTCAGTAGAGTTTTGAAATGCTAATGGGTACTAACTTGTCATTAGAAGATTTCACTGATTTGTATTCTAAATTCTTTTTAATTCATTTTCTTCTAGTCTCAGACCAGTGTCCTGGAGGGAGTCTCTTGTCATGATTTGCAGAAATTTGGCAGCCTTGTGTCTGCCGTGATCACCAAGTCCTGGCCCAGGAACAATGGAGAGGCCGTGGACGACCTGGATGAGATTCTTAAACACCTGCTCACGGGGCCAGATGTGAAGCAGCTCTTCAAGTTGTATGGTGTGTGTAGGGATGGTTGGGTCTGCTGTCCTTTCTCAGGTAGCAGAATAGGGCAAGGTGCTTGATGACCTGATCCTCAGCCTACATGTGCTGAGGTTTGGTAAAGGCAGGATGGGCCGGGGTGCCCAGGCAGGTGATAAAGAGCATCTAACGGCAGAGCCACTGTCTGCTGAGTGCCTGCTGGACATGTGCTCCTGGGGGCACACACTGTCCTTAAAGCAGCCCCTCTGAAAGTGTTTGGGGCAAGTTGCTTACCCAGGGTGTTGGAGACTTCCTCTATCAACCATGACGAATGTGACTCTTCAGCGTCACCTTCCAGTTGTTCTGCAGGGTTATGTGTAAATTGCTAGATTCAGATCTTGTAGTGGGAAAGCACTGGGCATGGCAATACAACCCAGGGCAGATGATGGTCTCAGCAAAATCAGCCACACCCCATGCCACAGGAGGGGCAGGAGCAGTGCAGGAGCAGCGCGTGGTCATGAAGGTGGCTGCTGTGTGCACTGGCCCGGCAGCTTGCCGGAGAGAAGTGCACTTCTGTTTTGAATGTCCGCACTCTGCGCACGCAGCAGGATGCATCTAAGGTTTCAGGCCCAACAGCTCTGTTCCTGTTATTGCTGACCAAAGCACCCTTGTCTAGATGTGCCTAGGTTGGTCCATTTTCCCACTGAAGTCATCTCAGCTGCCTCTGTGTTTTTGTAATTAGGAATAAAACTGTGTGTGCGTGCGCATGTACGCACATGTGTGTGGTGCTGGGGACAAAACCAGGGCATTGGGTATCCTAGACTAGCACCCTACACCACCACTCTGCACCCCAGTCCCCCGCCATCTTTGCTTTTAATGGTAAAGGTAACTCTGTTGTCCATGATACTAACTGAGCCTCATACTACTGTGAGATAAATAGTTTGGCAGGTAAACCAAGCACATTTTAAAACGTCGGCCTCTGAGGTCCTCTGAAAGCTCACATTCCAAGTTTTGAACTGCAGCCAAGATAGGTAGAGTGTGAAGGCTCAGGCCTTCAACCCTGTGGTTCTCCTGGCTAACACTGGCCATTGGGAGGGTCTCCTCTGTCTAGCAAGAGAAGCACTGGGGTAAGACAGGTATGGGAGCAGCTGAGTGAGGCGGCAGCACTACTGGAAACACTGTGAATGCAGCCAGTGTCAGGTGGGCATGGCGCTGGGGTGAGGTTCTAGAACAAGCAGGCGGAGGGCCCGTGGGCTCACCATGTTCCTCATCTGTTCAGGGACGGATGAGAAGCTGTTAGACAACCTCACAGACGACGCCAAGAGGTTGATGGCTGCTGCCAACTCTGTCTTCATGAAGGTTGCTGGTGAAGTCCTGGATGGGTCCATATTGATCGGACACTTGGAGCTGATCCTAAAGCACAAAACCCAGTTTCTGGACCTGTGGCAGTTAGGTGAGCTGGGCCAGGCTGGTGTGAGGCCTGCGTTCACACGTGTGCTGGGTGTCCTCTTCCATGCCACCAAGTGGAGGAGTTCTTGTCTTCCTAGGGTGACTGCAGGGCACTCCCAGGGGAGAAGGGGGTGTCACGGAGAAGTGTCTCTGCCTTTGGTGACTTTGTCATTGTATTCCAGAGAAAAAGAGTTTTTCATTCCAAGAGGGAAAATGTGACATGAAAGAGACCCTGGACTGGAGGATGGGAGAAGTCGTGTTTCTGAAGAGAGAGAAGAGACAGGTGGACAGCCTCCTCAAGCTGAGCAGGAAGGTGAAGCACCTCGTCCAAGGTACTGGCCCCGCAGTTGCTCTGGACACCCTTGAGAGCTGGGGCAGGGAAGAGGGCCACAGAGAGCAGGGCCTTATTTGGGGGGAGAGCTTTTAAAATACATTTTTAGCCGAGTTTTCCATGAGTCTGCCGGGGGAAGCAGGCTCTGCTCTCGCTCTTGTTGCTGTGCCTCCAAGCCCGTCCACATCCCTGGTTCCCAGCGTCCTGTGCCAGCTTCCTGTGGGGTGGGGTGGGGGGGATCTCTCTCCAGTCTGGGCCCAGCACACGAGGTCACTTGCTGCCCTGTCACGCCCAGTGGTGCCCTGAGTTACTGGAGCAGTCTTCGGGCCAGGCCTTCGCCGTGGCGTGAACAGGACTCACAGGCCACCCCACGTTCCGGCAGAGCTTCTGTAGCGGTGGAATCGCTCTGCTTGTCTTGTTATCTCCTTTTCCCCTTTTCCATTGTGTTTCTTTCTAATTCAAACTGGACCAGCCGTCTGAGCGGACGTCTCTGAAGGGTCTCCAGGATGGAGGGCTCGTTTCTCGGGTGGGGAGGTGGCCCTCATCTCCCCTCATCTCCCAGGGTTGCCTCGACCTCTGGGCTGGTGGGGCAAGTCCCGCATCCCGGGCTTGCCCTCGGCTCCTGTTGGACAGAGCGTGGCATCTTCTGCTTGCCGGGAAGGGGCACAGGAGGCCAGATTCAGAACTGTGCTCCTGCTGTAGGTTGACCGTTGGGCCAGGGACAGAATGTCCATCACAGTGCCGCCTGGGTGCTGCGTGGGGACGTCACATGCAGCCTCGCTGCTCACCCTCTGCATGGGGCTCGCTGTCTTCTCTGGCCCTCGTGTCCTGACGTTGTCGTAAAACTCTGCCACCCACCTCCTTCCTGTCTCCTGGGCCTCCCGAGTTCCTCAGCTGGAGCTCTGGTCTTACAGCTCGAGGGCTTGCTCCTGAACTGGCTGTTTGTGCTTTCCTTCTTCCTGGGTTCACAGCAGCAGCTGCTGGGCCTCCTGGTGTGGTTTCCAGCTCCTGTGACACCTCTCCTGAGCCTTATCAACCTCCTCACACAGCCGGGCCTTGAAGTCTTCATTTCAGCTCTCTCACTCCTTTTGTTCGTTTTACTTTGATATCACAGATGGAACTCGGGGCACTAGACCTCTGAGCTGCACCCCAGCCCCATGTTGTATTTTATTTAGAGACAGGGTCTCCCTGGGTTGCTTACACCTCGATTTTGCTGAGGTGTAAGCAACCCAGCAAAATTTTTTAATAATTTTTATCTGTAGATGGACACAAAACCTTTATTTATTTATCTTTTGTGGTGCTGAGGACTGAACCCAGGGCTTCTTGAGTGCTGTACCACGGAGTCACAACCCCAACCCTTCTCCTTTTTTCTTGAGAGATCCCTTTACATACTGTGGTGTTCTCGTGTTCAGTATCTTATCTTTCTGAGATTATTGGTGTTTATGAAGGTCTTCTTCTCCTCACATTGTTTCTTGTTGTGTCCAAGTTGCTTGCTTTCTTTTCTTTTTTCATGCTGGGAACAGAACCTAGGCTTTTCTTTTTTTTTTTTTAATTTTTTTTTTTGTTGTTGTTGATGTACCTTTATTTTTCATTTATTTGTATGTGGTGCTGAGAAGGACCTCAGTGCCTCACACGTGCTTAGGAAGCGTGCTACCTCTGAGCTACTGTTGGGTTTTTGGGTGTCTGTTTTGCATTTTAAAGACCTTCCTGCCCAGCAGCTCGGGAGGCTGAGGCAGGAGAGCTGTGAGTTCAAAGCCAGCCTCAGCAATGGTGAGGCACTAAGCAACTCAGTGAGACCCTGTCTCTAAATATAATACAAAATAGGGCTATAGATGTGGCTCAGTAGTCAAGTGCCCCTGAGTACAATCCCAGATACCCTTACCCCGCCCCCCAAAAAAATATATATATATGTTTCCCTCTTCTGTTTAGAGATTTTTGTTGTCTGTGTCTGTGGACTGACACGTTAAGGGCTTCTGGGCATGGCCCCTGGCGCTCTGTGGCTGCCCTGGTGTTGACCTGGTCCTCGAGGGCCTCTCCTGTGGGTCTCCCGTTTGCAGCCCCTGCCGGCTGCCAGGTTCCTGGAGCCAAGAGGGAGAGGAGGAGGTGAGCCCACCTTTACTCCAGTTCTTCTTCCCTGAGGGCCGCGTCATCCTCCCCGTCCCCGGTAGCTGCCTAGGACAGGTCTGTGTCTAGAGAGGCCTCCAGGCCCGAGAGCCCTGCAGGTGGTCCTCCCTGACCTTGCCAGGTGGGGCTGGACTCTCACTCACTGCTTCTTAAACACACCTGGAACCCGCGACTCTCACTCACTGCTTCTTAAACACACCTGGAACCCGCTTCCTGATCCCTCTCTGCCTCCCCTGGTCTAGGGTGACCTTACAGCTAGTGTCCTTGCTTGCCAGGAGCTTGTGCCAGGCCTGACTGAGCTCATGTCACTGTGTCCCCAGGGTCTGTGTACTCAGGCCCCAAGTCTCCTTTGCCTCTGGTGTGGCCGTCTTTCCACTTCTAGCTCCTGTTGCTCTTGGGCAACTTTTCTGCTCCTCTGGTCCCTGCTGGTTGTGGTCTTTTAAAAACAATTTCAAATCCATCACTGGAGTGAGGTTTGGGTGGGAGGAGATGGACGTGTGTTTCCAAGTGTCCTGTCCACACAAGAGCTTGCAGTCTCCTCTTATCATGAAAACTGATGAACAAGCCACCGGTGGGGTGGAGGGGAGGAGGGACGAATCTTCCTGAGAAAGAATTCTCAGCAATGGTGTTCACTTGTGTTTTCTTAACAAAGTGATTGGAAATACTGGGAAAGTAAAATAAGATGCCACATGACTAGCAGTCTCACTTCTATGTTTCCTTATGGTGTCCAAAGTGGATTTTGGAGAGATTGAAGCAAGACACTCCGAAGACCTGAACCTCAAAAGACTGAATGAAGCCATAATAGTGAGCCAGCCATCATCCTTGGCCTTCCAGCAAATGACGCACTACAACCTGGATCTCAGAGCCCAGGAAATAGCTGGAAGGATAGACTCGCTGATAGACAGCCACATCTTCCAGGTGTTCTGGGAAGAAGCTGCAGAATCATTGAGTCATCCCAGAAGGAGATCTCAAAGGCCAACCCTTGAACTTCTAGAAGCCTATGAGTTCTTGTACTTGCCTTGTTACCAGAGGTTCATGAAACTGTATCAGGATCTGAAGTCAGGAGAGGTCACCTTTGCAGAAATCGATGTCATCTTCAAGGACTTTGTAGATAAATACAATGACCTGACTTCAGACCTCCAGATTATGTGTAAAGTAGACCCCCAGGCCCAGAGAGGCTGGATCTCGGAGCGCGTGGAGCAGATCAAGGAGTACCATAGCCTGCACCAGGCCATCAGCTCGGCCAAGGTCATCTTGGATGTCAAAAATAATTTTGGATTGACTGGCGACTTCAGTGTTCTTTACACTTTAGTAAACTTTGTAAGTTATTTACTGGGGACTCCTGTGAGGTGGGGGTAGCTACCCCAGGGCTTCTGGGAAGGACAGTGTGGCATCCTGTTTCAAGGACTCTTGTCTGGGCTGCACTGGAACATTCTGAGGCCTGCGTTTTTACCTTTGCTTGAGATAGTGTGACTATTCCTGAGTGAGTGAGTTTTTTTGGATCAATATGAGAACCAAAAATTGAGGATAGAGAAACCATCCCCTTTCCCAGAAAAATATCTTCTCTTTATTTTATAAAATCACAAAAGGAAATGTTTTGCCATCTGTCCAGGTACGTCTCCTAGTTCACGTGGGAATTTCAAACAGTACTTTGCTCCCACTGTGGCTCAGGCCCGCGTCTCTTTGTCCTGTTTCCTAGCCCCAGGTTTATCGGTGTGTGGTTCATGTTCCGGGAGAGACAGACATGATAGTGCTTAAAACTTAGCAGAGTGTGGTATGGTCCGTACCTAAACTTGAACCCGTCAGCACGTCTGTAACTGCCCCAAACAGAGAAGTCAATGATTTGGACCTGGTGGGGCTGCTGTGAGGAGCAGGTTTCAAAAGTCCATGAAAGCTTCCTCATGGGACCTGGGTCCGTGAACAGTAGCTATTGCAGCCCAGCAAG